CTTTTTGTCCAGCGGACCGGCAGCACGCCCAGTGAATGGCCAAGGTTAACCTGGTGCAAAGAGAGGGAAGGAGTGTAGTCCAGACTCCGGTTGTCTTCTGCGGGAACTCAAAGTCTGGCAAAGGATGGGGACGTTTGAGGCAATAAGATGCGACCGGAAAGGAGAAGCGGTCAAAGATGACGAAGATGAAGTAGTCTAGGGACCATGGCTACTACCAGCACAAAATGAACTAATCAGAAATCGAAAGTGCTTATGGGACAGAAGAGAAGAAACAAACACATCTTCGACACATCATCTCAATGGATTTGCTATTTGTATTCGTCCATTTCGATAAATTGTAACTCCAAGCAGGAGTTTCAGAGTAAATTCGAGATATGCATATAGGAAACTCCATGGAAAAAAGAAACTCCGAAAGCCAAGCAACAGCAGAACTATAAAAAACGAAAGAATTAGTAGTGAAAAAATGCAATTCACGCCAATTCTCACTATGCGAGCAAAACAGGACAACTTAGGTACGACTACAAAACGACCGTCAGTTCATTGCCCAGTAGTCAAGGTCCGATGGTTTATCTATCGGGTTGCAATTGACAACGTGTCTGTGCTGTGAGCACTTTCGAAAAGTTATTACCTAAGCTGTAAGGTTCTGAAAATCGAGGCACGTAGTAAAACGTACTGTAATGACTGTCGCTCATTCCCACGTCCATCGCTTTAATAACGGAGACCACAAAGAAAGTTTAAATCGCGTCTGAATTATCAATCAACTTTTGACCATGACATACTGGTTCGGCCTTTTCACACTGAATGACCGTTTGTGACGTCATGAGGAAAATGATTCAGGCTGATTATGAAGAATATGATACTGATAAGAATGGTGAAGACACAATGGAGAATAATGTTTTCTATCTCATCTCATAGATGCAACCGTAAAGCTGAATCAAGGGTTTATGAATTGCATCGCAAGCACCTGAAAATAGTAATAACGTTAAAATAAAAATAAGTTAAAAGTAGAAAAGCCTAATTAACCTTCAACCAAGCTGAGATGACGGTTATGCCCAACAACCGCAACTGAGGCGTCAAAGAAATGAACTACGAGGACGACACGAAATGGGTCAGTGAATAAGAATTTGACACTGTTAAACTTCGACGCCATTTATGCGATAGGTCCGGAACAACGACTGACTGCTCACTCATCAATGATGTTTTGCGTACAACTCGTTAATAAGATTGCCTTTAACAAAAACTCGATGAGGTAGCATAAAATCGATCGGTTAAACTTTGCTGTCGATGACGTCAAGAAGAACGGTAAGAATAGACGATGGGAAGACGGCCTAAATACAGTGGTACGTTATACTCGTTAGTCACTGTGCTTGTAGGAAAACTCTGATTCCGAAACTATGAACTGCTGTGGAAGAGCAACCAGATTCACGAAATATCACCAACCTGTCCTAATGAAGACTGGTTAGTCACAAACCGAAACATCGGTAGTTTTACGATAATCTTTACCTGTTTCTGCACGGAACACTATGTTTGAGAGTTAAACCACATATACTATGAGGCAGTTACAGCATATGCCTCCAAACTTATGTGAACAAAGCACATACAAAAATCTGTTTAAAAATCTTTTTTGTAACATGTATATGTCTACGGAAAGTCGGTAAGTGTCCGAATGGGCTTGAGGCTTGTACAGTGGTATAGTTTTGCATCCATGAACTGCAAGAGCTTAAATATCATGGAATTATATCCTGCTCAAACGATCCCCTAAGCTACTAGAAGCAAAATCCGGAGAATTGACAGAAGAATTACGGACGGTACCAAAAACTATATTTCGTGGTAAACCCGCAATATCAGGACCATAGTTTAGTGTATAATAATCATCGCAGAAGTGAATTAGTTTTTAAACATCGTTTGTAGAGGGACTCCGGAATCAATTCCCAACAGCACAAGCGTTGAAAAAGTGCGAATAAGGTGAAAGTCACAGATCAGAGACATTTTACCTACTCCAACGATTCAAGATGATGATCAGCGGAAATTCAAAGCAAATGCTCAAGAAGCTGTGGAGAACGAGGTAGCCTTCCATTTTGCACGTAATGTATACTGTATTCGTAACGAAACAGACGCCTGGCTGACTGTTCGTTGTAGCAAATCTGAAGACGTAGAGAATAAGATACATAGAAAATGCAAGCCTGACTCATTCCGCTGAACTGCATTTGTTTTTTTGTCAATAGTTACCATTTTGTTAGAAAATAATTTTAGCTAGCTATATCTAATTAAACATGTTACATATGTAGCTAGTTATATACGGTAAATACTCCTAAATAACGGTAACTGAATAGATAAAATGAAACTACAGCGCAGGTGAGTGATACAGCCGTGCATCTTTTCAGCGCTGCGAAATGCTGAATTCCATCGGGTTCTTTACTTACAGAGTGGAAGCTTGGACAAAGGATGATTTTTTTATTGCAACCAAAACAAAGATCATAAATTGAAAACAAATTTATATAATTCATTTAACCTTGAACGTTGACAATGAGCCGAGTATTACTCTAAACATCGGTAATTTATGTAATAAAGTCTATACGCAGATCCGGCATAATATCTGAAGATCATATAGTCGATTTTAGCCAAAATTATTAAATCGACATATAGGTATTATATGTTCAGCAAATCAGCTCTGCCTAGTCCACGGCTACAAATAAAACGGATACAAACCCTTAAAAGTGACGTGAAAACAAGATTCGATCTCTGATTAATCGTCCGACCAGCAAAAAGGTTAACAGAACAGAAGGGAATAATCTCCGAGATGTCTAACCCTCTATACCAAATGATGTCATGGCGTTGAGGACTGCTGTTTGAGTGAGGAAACAGATGAATTAGGCAGTGTGGAGTGAAACGAGCACTCACTTTAATGACTTGGATGAACCGTCGTACAAGAAGAACAAGGAAGTCAGGACGAACAAACGGGATGGAGAGCAGCCAGTCGTGATGTCAGAGTTGTCGGTCGGTTCGATGACGCAAGTGTCGAACCTGAGAACGTCTGACAAACAAACAGCAGCCGAACGACGGCAATGGCTTACTTTCGCTCAGAGACGAAGATCAGGCGAGCCTGAAAGACTGCTGTCCTCGACCCTCCGTTTATCGACTGCCACCGCCAACACAGACGGCATGTGAAAACAACGCCACACGACGCCGCGTAGTGAAAAATGGCACTTTTTACAGGCAACCGAATGAACGACGTTGGGACGGACCGACGGAAGCAGGGATCGAGTCTAGTCACTCATGCTGTCCCTCAGTCGACCGACGACCAGCGTACAGCCGATTGCAGTAGCGTCAACCCGTATGAACCGTGGGAGGGCGGCGGCACGATGACGACGACGACGAAGAGCAAGCAGCCTCGTTGAGTACCGTGGGAAAATGCGACCATGCAATTCTGGAATGCAATGGAATGACAGGTCACGGTGTCGAGGCGAAAATTAACTCAGCAGCAACAACATTACGGGCACGCAGACTTACGTTCGATCGCTTGCTCCATCGGCTGATTGAGGTTCCCTCTATTCTGGGAAGCTCACTGAACATTATATACATCTGATCGATCAACATCACCTAAGCCGATTTTAAATATCTTTAACACATGGGTTGACGCAGCGTCTTCTTTCATTGAAATGATTCTTCTCGTTACTTATAAATACCTCTGAATGTGGAGAAAAATCTTCGTACCGATTTTAACAATCACAAAAAGATCACAAAGCAACAACGGAACAAAAGCTTGCTTGTAACGGTTGGAATATCAGTCGCCTTCACTCCTCTATTACTGCAACCATTCGAGGTCTTTCGCTATCATGCAATTTAAGATACAGCGTCGATACACTTTCAAAGGCAATATCAGCGGCTAGACACTGTAACCAATAGTCCTGTTGTTCCTTCTAACGGGACTGAACTCAGCGGCCGGTTCAAATGACCTTACAAAATATTCGCCCTTATTGCTGTAACGGCCTAACATGATCCCGGAAAGGGTTGTAAACTTAGTCTTATAGCCATTTTCATGTTATTACGAGAAACCTGTCTGGGAACAAAACATAAATTCACGAATCGATAACCTGTATGTACGTAATAGTAGCCTCCTTTTCGTCATTGTGCAAATATTTACTTACCAACCTTAGAGAAACGAATGGCCGGTGCTCAAACGCCAACCATTCCAATACACATAAGATGAAGGCAATAAGATCATCGTTCGATTACAGTCTTGATGGCCATAAATCAAAAGGACATCAATG